AGTTAAAGTGAGAGAACTTGTGGGTTGAGATAAGAACAGTTTAATAATTGAAATAAATTAATAATAATAACAAACTGTAATGAAAAGGAAAATAACACAAAAAGAGAGAAATAAAACCCAAGTAAGATAAGTGATGCAAATGAAAACAATTGCTTTCAACCAACCAAGCAATGCCCAGTCTGTCCCCCAGCAGCAGCCCCCTGGTCAGCTTCCCCCAAGTTTATATACCTTGCATGACATCATATGGTATGGAATATGCCTTCAGCCAGTTTGGGTCAGCTGTCGTGGCCATACCCCCTCCCAGCTTTTTGTGTACCCCCAGCCTCCTCGCTGGCAGAGCAGAATGAGAAGCTGAAAAGTCCATGGCTTGGTGTAAGCATTGCTCAGCAACAGCTAAAATGTCAGTGTGTTCTCAACGCCATTCTCATCTCAAATCCAAAACACAGCACTATACCAGCTGCTAGGAAGAAAATTAAATCTATCATAGCCTAATCCGGGACATGAATTTATGTCGGATCTGTGTCCTTTTCAGAAGGACCTGTCCTGATATCCTCTTTGTACTTGGTGAACATACTTGTGATGAAAAGTAGTTGGAACCATTGGAAAATGTTTCTTGAAAGTTATATTCCACTTTCTGGGAAAAAAATTAAAAAATTGTCTTCCTAATTTGCTAGTCCTTCCATACTAGAACAATTAGAATCTAAATTTTCCAAAATATTAATGCTGGGGTGCCTGCTGTCCCAAGTTGCTTCAGCCTTGTTTCTCAAACCACTGTTGTTTTCTTGCAGACTGTCATTTTCACTTATTGCAGGTAGTTCAATCACAGGATGAGAAGTCTTTTGTTGGACGTTTAAAGTCTAATTTCAGTTAAGTTTAGATTTCCACAGTTTAGAGGTCTGCATTTTGCGGCAATCCTTTTAAGTTCAAGTTACAGCTAATACCGAGAAACAGGATTTTCTTCGGATGTGATTCATCTGATTTATTGTAGGTTTCTACTTTAGAACAAGACAGCTAATACTGCATCACTACTTGTTTTTTGTGTTGGCTGTGAAGGATGGTGAAAACGCCCACCTTCAATGATTAGGTGTGTTTTCAGCTTTTTTTGTTGGTTTAAATCCTGGTATGAGAATATAGTGTGAAATGGTAGGTTTTGAAAGAGAAGGATAAAAAAGAGGTAAGATAAGAAAGATGAAAAAGAGAAGATAGAAAGTCTTTTTCATTTGTTATCTTTTCATGCCTACCTGTAGAAGACTTATTATGTTATGCTATGGTTTATAACTTCCTTTTTGTTCAGCAATGTGATAGCAGTATCATGAAAAGAAAAGGTGCTCAAAGGCAGGGAATTTGCAAAGGAGCACACTAGCTGACTAGTGGTAATCTCATTCTTTCAGCAAGTGTTTAGTGAAAGAGGGCCTGAAGACTGCTTCTTTCAAGGGGAATGAAGTTCAATAATGTTTGTGTTTTACATAAACATGAGGAACTCTGGTTCATTTATTATTGTATCTGTAGTCATTGTGAGGCAGAGAGAGTAATGGGTTACTCCTTTTTTCACTGCTTAAAATAATAAAATGAAAATTAAAAATATTAACTACTATTTTTATTAAATAATAATAAGTAATACATTAATTTTTTTTTTCCCCTGGGCACTGTATAACTCTGACATTTTTATGAGTTAACATGTATAGGACATACCAAAAAACTTGTTCCTGCTGTGGAGGATACATAATGCATCTTCTTTTCTGTCTGGAAAAGTCTTTATCTTCTAAATTAATGGGAATATTCATCCTTAATTTTCATTTCTGAACTGTTAAAAAGGGCTTCTTGGCTCAAAATTGTGGGATTTTCTTGTTTCTTTTAAAATCTGAAGGCACATCAGGTTGGAGGGAGTTAGGTAGATGCTTAATATTGATTTTTCACAGGTTCATATGAAACGTGTCATCTTAAATTGACTTTTTTTGGTCCATGTTAATTCTAATAATTTTCAGTCTTTCTGTGATTAAGTCTTGTGAGTACTCTTAGGTAATTTTTCTGTTAGTGGACTTATTAATGTCAACATGTTCTTTACTAATAATTTTCTACTTTTTCTGGACTTTGAGGGACTGTTGTCTTCTTTTTGAGCAGTGGAACTGGCATTTCAATTTGGAGTAATTTTGCCAAATGTACATCACCTTAGCTACTTGTCTAATCTGAGCTAGGTTTCTTCACTGCTAGATTTTTTTGGGTTTTTTCTTGATGTTGGTCTGTTTGCCTTCAATCCTTTTTTGTTATATCCATTGTATTCAAGCATCTTTACTGTGAAAACATTTTATCTTTTCTATTATGCTAGGCTTTTCTCTTAACATGCTTTTTCTGAAAGGGTTAGATTTAATAAATGAAATGAACCCAAGTTTCTTCTAGAAGCTGTCTTTAATGAGAGGCATCTGTTAGAGAAAGCGATGGCAACGGAACAGAAAGATGTTGGAGGGGAGTGTTACCTCCCAGTTACTGCCTTTGTTACCTATGTTTTCCATAGAGTATTGTGAGAACTTGCTGTCCATTGCTGGGAGAGGAGTATGATACTGATTTCTGGGGAATTTGTCTTCCTTTTTGCTGGGAGAAATATGCTGCTGACTTTGGGCAAAGAGTTTCTTCCTCACAAAAGGGTCTGCTATTACAAAAATCTGCTATTGCAGTCTGCTACTCTTTCTTCATTGTTTTGCAAGGCAGTGTTATATCTGAGTTTATTACATAGAGCATTTAAAACATATTGGATACTTGTTTGTAGATCTTCTTTTAAAAACCCAGTTTCTAAAAGTGTACTCCAGTGCAAAGGTGGGATTCCTTTAATAACTATAAGTGACTACTGGTGCATTGTTTACTGTCCTGCCACCTCTGAGATCATGTGCTTTTATTTTATAAAGTCTCTTTAACTAATGTTTTACTAGCATGACCTGATCTCCTTGTCCTACAGCTATTAATAATTCACAATCCAAAACCGGCGATCCCTTCTAAGATGCACACCCACATACACACCAGTGCAAACAAGAATGCTTTGGTAACACCTTGCCACTCGTGTCTGCTAGTAGTGGTAAAATCACTGGTCTGTTAAAATCATTTTATAACAGGTATAATGCTCATGGTTATTACCAATTGACAAATAAGTGCTTTAAGGTAGCATAATCAAATGTGACAACCTAAAGATGTACTTAGGCTTCTGTAATGACATACTGCAAAGCTATGGGACAGATAATAGAGGAGGTTTAAGATATTACACGTTCTTAGTTTTCTCTTACTATTTATTCTATGCTACCTTGCACTTGTGTAATACAGGAAATTCCTTCTTTGGTATATCATACTCTGTTTAAGTAGAATCAAACACCTCTCTCTTCTGCACCTCCCTTTCTCTGAGAAGCAACCAGGGCTGGGAAAGATGCTGCTTTGATTCTCATCTTGGTACAGAAAGGCACTGTGAGCTGTTGCAAGAAGGAAGCTACAACATTTACTCAGCATTCCCAGCTCATGTTAAACTCTCTTCTGGGGCTGTATGGGAGCTTTGGGAATTAGCTGGCAAGGCAGCACATTCTGTGTTCTTTTTGAAATGGATTAATTCAGATGCCATGGTTTAAAAATAAAACAACGTGGCTTAGGTGGTGAAATTTTAGTTCATAGTAAAATGTGAATTTCATTTAACACACTTGTGTTGTGACAACAGAAAGACTCAATTTCCATGAATTAGATGTCATTGGGGTTCTGTGCTTTTCCAGTATTGAGAATCATGGAGGTATTTTGGGGTGGGGTGTTAATCATCTGTTTCCTTTTGTCTGATTTCCTTCTGATTCCAATGCTTTCTTGAAAAACAAATCCTCCTTGAAAAGCTCTAGTCAGCTTTCTAAATAAATTTCACTGGTTTTCTAAAAAGTATTTTTCAGGGTTTTTTCTTCTGTCAAGAATGGCAACATATTTTGCTGTGTCTGGTGCACACATAGGCATCTTCTGCAGAGATTGTTCATACATAGCTTGAGGGCTCTCAAAGTGTTTCTTTCAGGTGTGAAATGTTTAGAATGAAGTAATTTATTATATATTAATTCTGTTTAACCAGGCATGATTTGAGATTTTCACAGTCTGCAGAAAATTAAGTATTCATTAACATTTAAAGCCATTAGATGACACAGTTGAGCAATAAATGATTCATTTAGTCCCTGTTAAAGTAAATGTGTGTTGAAGTTTCTGACTAGAAGATAATGGTGGTTGTCTTTATTTTCAATTATTTTCCTCATCCTTGCTTTATTTATTCTGTGCACTTCATTGACTTGTCTTTCTCTCTCTCTTTTCCTGAAACAGAAGAAGAAGAAGTGGAAAATTTTGATGTTTCCAGTCTGCCTGAAGAAGTGCTGCAGAACATAGAAGCTGACAGTTATTGGTGCATGAGCAAGTTGCTTGATGGTATTCAGGTAAATTGATTTTTCCTGTCTGTAAGTAGTGGAGAGAACCAATTAATGTCATGGCTTTGAACTACTTTAAGGTTGTTGAGAACGAGTACATCTATGAAAAACAGGGGAGAAGTAGATTTTCCTGTTGGAGAAATCTGCTGCAAGTTTGGCATAGTATTAAGGGAAAAAAAGGAAAAAAAAGTTGTGCAACTTTTTTGATCAAAATGTCTACATGTTTCATTGTAGTATGATGTTCTAGAGCGGAGCTGAAATCTCGAATTCTAGAGGCTTGTTGTGCACCCCAGTCATCAAGTGTGGAGAATGTTTGCTCAGGTTGCAAAGTATAAAATTGTCTCACTGAGGTGATGAAAAGCTGACTTATTTATTCATTTTTGAGTCATTAATAGAGCAACCTGTAAACAATTGCTGTGTTAATAGTTCCTGAAATTATCTTTCTATTTGAAAAACATCCATTTAAAACTTGATACTTATGCTTCTTCATTGAGTGTTGTCTGAATCTATTCTACATCGAAAAGCTATAAATCTGGGCATAATTTTCTGTTAAATGCAGCAAGTTACTTAGTAAGAATGGTGGATTTGTGTGTACATGTTTGCATTCCTTGGCATGTGAGTTTATGAAGATTAGAAGGATCTACGAGAAATAGTAAATATGTTGCTAAATATCTTGCATTTAGGTGAGGGAGGAATCCATATGATCTACCATAGATTAAATGGGAGTCCAAACATCTGTGTTTAATTTTTAGCATATTGAAACACTTTATGCTGCAGTGCTGATGCATGGTAAAGTAGAAGCTTTGGACTTTCCAGTTTATGTAGAAGTTACCTGAATTAAATTTTGTAGGCTTTGTGTTGCAATAGGCATCAAATAGTATCTAATACCTGTTTTTCAGATGTGTCTCATTTGAGATAAACGTTTTGAATCTTGCTAGAAAGTAAAAATAATCTGATGTTGTAAAGTCAGAATACATGCACTGAAATAACACTTGTTGTGAATTGCTGGGTTACGATGGGACCAAAATTGACCTTTGATAGAAGTATTAAAGTTTCTGAAAGGTGATGATTTCTATTTTGCACCTGCGATAAAGAATTGCATTTAGTGATGTTTGGTAGGCAGATGTTTGAAGTTAGGGTTCATTTGCTGCTTTCAGCAAGCTGATTAGAAAATAAATTATAGTTACAAATATTTAGCACATTGCGGCTTTTTTTTTTTTTTAATGCTCATACCTTCTCTTTCTGATTATTCTCTGCTTTCAGATGAGCTGCTTGTATAGTGTAGAGGATCTTTTCTCTGAAACTGTTTCACTATTATTTTGGTGACAGTAGAAATTGTTACAGGGATAGAAATAGTTTGATTAATTTATTCCTAACATTCTCTTCAAAGATGAGGTGATAGACAAGTGCTTCTACTGTACCTGTTAGATTCAATCCTTTTGGTAGGTTCCATGTAACTTTGTTTTGAAATGCTTTGGACAAATGCTTGAAAATTAGAGGGTTTGTTCCTCCAAGTGATTTTAATGTAGCAAGGACCCTGGAGGTTGAATTTGTGTGTGTGGAAAATGCCTATCCTCCAATCATTATTAAAATCATCATAAAATATGAATAACTGTAGAAATTCCTATGAAATGAAGCTGTACTTTTCAGTGAAACTAAATTAATGTTTTCCAGATGCTTTACTTTGATTGCATTTTTGATAGATATTTCTTTCTTACGGTACTTAGTATTTTTGAAAGTGCTTTAACATATTCTTGCGTATGACTTAAGTTTTAATATTAATGTTTCATTATTTACGGCATATTGTGAATTTAAACTTGTAACAGATTTTTTGACAAAATTGTTATAAATTGAGTCAACAAACAGAAGTCTTTAACTTCTTTGAAGGTATTTTATGTGTATTTCTCCTGGTTAAAGGTCAAATGAGTAGTAGCTCAATGTTTTGTGGAGTACCGTTGAAAAGCAGTCTTTTTGTCATGCTGATTCCTGTAAAAAAAAAAGCTGGTTTACTTATTTGAATCTCTCAGAATTACTATATTTTAAAATATTTGACCACATATCAAAAATATGTGAGAACTTATAAACAAAAAAGTGAGAACTTGAAATCTACTTGAAAGGAAGACAGACAAGTAATGAAACGCAAACCCTCCAACTGTTTTACCTGTTTCTGGAACATCTTCTGTCACAGGCCTCCTGCTCTGTTGTTTTGGGTTTGGTTTTTTTGATTTTTAATAGAAAAGGAAATTCAGAGATTACTTAACTTCTCCCTAAAATTCTGTTTTCATACAAAACCATCAAGTTCTGATAAAATATTGAAACTGCATTGATGAAATTTTAAGGTCTTATATAAATTGAATGGTTATCAATTGGATATATTCAAGGATGCACTCATCTATCAAAACCAGGCTTGAAAGCATATGCTAGTGGTGTGACTGGTGATGTTACACTTAATTCAGTGCAACTGCAACATGCTGCTGAAATGAAAGGGTTTGCTTGGTTTTTTTCTCCCATTTTGATGTTTTGGTTCCCTTCTGTGTTGATACCACTTTACTTGTCAGATAGAGGGCTCAGGTAGTTGCAGGTTGAGTTGGTTGGGAGAACTAACCTGAAAGGAAGGGGATAAAAACCCCAGAGAATAAAGTCTGTTTTACTGAAGGGATATCATCTAAAGAGACCTTGACAGCCTTGAGGAGTGGGCCCATGAAGTTCAGCAAGGCCAAGTGCAAGGTCCTGCACCTGGGTCAGGGCAATCCCCAATATCAATACAGACTGAGGGATGAAGGGATTGAGAGCAGCCCTGCAGAGGAGGACTTGGGGATACTGGTGGATGAAAAATTGGACATGAATGTGCACTTGCAGCCCAGGAAGCCAGTTGTATCCTGGGCTGCATAAAAAGAAGTGTGACCAGCAGATCGAGGGAGGTGATTCTTTACTCTTCTTGTGAGACCCCATCTGGAGTACTGCATCCAGTCCAGGGGTCAGGTTTGATGTGGCTTTAAACAACCTGATCTAGTGGAAGATGTCCCTGCCTATGGAGGGATGTTGGACTACATGAACTTCAAATATCCCTTCCGACTCAAACCATTGCATTATTCTATGATTCTAACTGACTTGCATACTGGATGCACGATCACCAGATCCACTGGTGGGGGGCAAGAACTAGGTGGGGATGGGTGAGGTAGGATCTGGAACCACTAAACTTAAGATCAAATTCTGCCCCAAAGGGCATATGCTAATTTACATCAAACTGTAATAATCCTATGCTCCTGGCTGCACCAGAATGCTTGTTCCTGTCTGTCCCTAGCTGAGTGCTACCTGTTGTGAGCAGATTCACAAAGCTGAACTGCCTGACAACAGAACAAAACAAAAAAAAAAACACTGGTCAGTTGTCTTGGTTTCAGCTGGCATATAGTTAATTTTCTTCCTAGTAGCTGATACAGTGCTGTGCTTTGGATTAAGGATGAGAATAATGTTGATAACACACTGATGGTTTTAGTTATTGCCAAGCAGTCAAGGACTTTTCAGCTTTTCTTACTCCCCTGCCAATGAGTAGGCTGGGGGTGCACAAGAAGCTGGGACAGGGCACAGCCAGGACAGCTGACCCCAACTGACCAAAGGGATATTCCATACCATATGACCTCATGCTCAGTGTATAAACTAGGAGGAAAGCTAGCAAGGTGGCCACTGCTTGGAAACTGACTGGCCATTGGTCAGCGGGTGGTGAGCAATTGCATTGTGTGTCACTTGTTTTGTATATTCTTTTATCATTATTCTTTTCCCTTACTTTTTTGTCCTATTAAACTATCTTATCTCAACCCATGAATTTTACCTTTTTTTCCCCTGTTTCTCTCCCCCATCCCACTGGGGTGGGATTGAGCAAATGGCTGTGTGGTGTTTAGCTTCCTTCTGGGTTAAACCACAGCAGTCATTCTGGGGCATGAAGGGGTGAGGTAACGACAGATCTGACTGGAGTGTGTTAAAACAAATCAGTTATACACTTTCATTATATTAGCGCTGAGTGGGGATAATCACTTCTCTTCATCTACTGGACCAGGACACTGCTGGCTGCCTTTGCTGCCAGGGTGTACCACCGGCTCAGTCTGAGCTTGCTGTCTGTTGAGACTTTCAGGTCCTTTTCCATAGAACTCCTCCCCAGCCAGTCTGTCTCCAGCCTCTGTTCTTGCAAGAGGCTCTAATGATGATTTATGAAAACCTGTTTCTGAGGATGTATGTGGTCATGTGCAAAATATGTCCAAATAAGATATTCTTGATTATTTTCAACACGTTAGTTGGTAATTTCCCTTTTGCAATCTGTATAACAGTGTTTTGGTGCTTTTCTATTGTGAAGAAGAATCATGTATTCTTAGGTTTATTTTACAGCTAATTAATTTCCAAGACTATTTTGTCTTGCATTTCAAGCTGAACAATCAGAAGATAAAATGTTTCTGATGTCCATCCACCGTGCTTATGGTAAAGCTGGTTGTCTTTAGAATGCTTCTAAACCATGGATGATGTATGAATATTTTTGCATTTTCATCTGTAGGAATAATGTCTGTGCATGTGGGAAAACTAGAACTTTAGGATAAGTACTTTTTCCACTTAATTAAATAGATGTTCCCATATATCCATTGTAATTATCTTTTTTATTACTAAATCATCCTTTATAACATTTTCCTCAACAGAGTCCCGTTAACATTCAAGTAAAAAGTTCATGCTGATCTGTGCCACCTGAAAATGTAATGTTCATGTATAAAAGAGTATAACTCTTCATTTTAAGTTCAAATGTAATGGTAATAAAATAACCAAAGGGGAAATATATGCATTGCATAATGATCTAACCAGATGTATTAACAATAGCAATAAAATATTAATATAATTACTTATCAGAGCTTGGGAATTTTTAGAATAAAAGGGAGATGATTAATTTTGAGGGACTGTAGTATACTGAGGTATGTATTAGCTATTTCTATGACTGATTAAATAGCAAGATTTATGATCTGCAAAGGGAA